CTCAAGTTATAAGCTTCACTTTTCGATTTGTGAGTAGATGCTTTTCATCTTCTTTTTCTGTTCACTTGACCTGAGCTGATGCGATTGGTTCCATGTTTTTCCCACTGTTCGAAAAAGGGTCTAGGCAGCCGCCTAGGCGCTGGGCGTCAGGCTGTCGCCGCGATTATACAAGAAACATTCAGTAAATCGGCAAGGGAATTAGGCAGTGTCTAGGTGGCCGACTTGGCAGGCTAGACGGCCGACTCAGCGAGTTAGGCAACCTAGACGACAAACTAGGCGGGTTTGTAAAAAAAAACTATATACGTCTCGCAGCTTCACTCTTCGCGTAAAAGAGAATGCGACGACATAAAATCTGGAGAAAGATAGAGTGATGGAGCAAGAGAGCGTGAGGGAAGAGAGTGAGAGAGACGTTTAGAAGCAATTAGAAAAACAAATCTGCAATTGCAGGAAAATAATGAGAAATTGACATAGACTGGACACTTGGGAAGTTGGGATTTCTTCTATGAGGAATTCGTTGCCACAACCAGGTTTTGAGAAATTATACAGAGGAAGAAGAAGATAAGGAACTAGGCGGAGCAATCAAATAATGGGAGGAAAAGAAACAGAGAGAATCCAAAATAAAGGTCTTCACGGTTTCCAAGATGTAAATGACCATCCTCTCTATTTGACCGGTTTCCACCACTTTCCCCTTTTAATTATCCACTCTCCACTGTTATAAATTATAATCACCCACTACTCACTTATAATTTATAATAAAAGAAAATAAAAAATAATTACTCACTCTTCACTATTAAATAAATATGTTATATAATATATTAGGAATAGTATTTTATTATATTTGGTATTTCTAAGACCATCATATTATTATACTTAAAACTCCTACATTACATATATACTTTTAAAAATAATGTATTATTTAATGTTTATGTATTATTATATTTGGACTTGTTGGATATTCTTTTTGCATTTTATCATTCTTTTATTATTTTATCTATGGATTTCATACAAGTATAATTTTTTTGTAAGTGTCAAAATGCACTTATTTACAAGACATACAAAAAATTTCCCTAAATCCACCTCGTCCACCTAGGCGCCCGCCGCCCGACTAGTGCCTAGCGTTTTTTAGAGCCTTGGTTATTTCTCGCTTCTCATAGCTAGCAGCATGACATACATACAATAAGTAAACTGAAAATATGACTTTAGTCCATAGAATTCAATTTTACACATAAAAAACCCAACATGACTTTTTTACTCTAGAAAAACCCAGTGACTAGTGACACACCCAGACCTGAGATGTCTACTAGGACTCCGAATCGAGTTGTGCTGACCAACACCTGGAATGTGACAAAGCCATAAAGTATGATGATGTGGAAAAAATGTGAATAAATTTAAACCTAAGAGTGCCTAAAAAAAACAGAGTGCGCTAGTGAGCGGGAATGAACCCATTTCACACATGACTTTAGAGCATAAGTAAGTGCAATAGAGTGGATTAAGAATCATACCCTCGATAGAAATCTCCAATACTAAGATTTGCCACGAATCCTCAACAATAAGAAAGCTCATCTAATAAAACCTGAAAGGTGAAAACAAAACAAGGGTGAGTGGCCCTAGAAATAAATTTTTTAATAGAAACCTTCTAAAACGTTATAACCCCTCGATGCATCACATTGTATAGTTTCTAGAAAATCATATCACGTATCAATGTGAAATAAAAAATATATCAACAGTAATTCCATAATTATACCACGACCCAACAACTCATCAGTAATATAAATAATCATGCGCTTAATAATCTATATTAGCATGCAAGTTGGAGTCACCTAATGTGACATGTACGACTGCACCCATATCTCATCAATCAACGTTAGCACGTAAGTCAAAGTCACCTATAGTGACCCATACGACTTATCCATATCTCATCAATCTAGCTCTTATCAATCAATGCTAGCACATAAGTTGGAGTCACCTATAGTGACCTGTACAACTTATCCATATCTCATCAATCAATGCTAGCTCATAAGTCGGAGTCAAGCACTAATGCCGGGGTGCAGGTTTATGAGCTCTAATTACATCTATTATAACATGTACGACTCATGGGCAACCTGTACGACAGTGTCGGAGTTGCCTATCATTGCAACATGTACGACAAGGTCGGATTTGCCTAAAACTTACATGTAGTCATGTCATAACTCCATCATTTCAACTAATACCATAAACTCACCTGAACTTACCTGGGTGTCCTGTGTTCACCTTTGCACTTCAAAGCGTTCATAATAATTACGAGCAATTAATATACATATGGATATACCATGATGCAATCTAATACTCAATCATGTCATAACATTTACAATTATATACATACATACATATATATATATATATATATATATATATATATATATATAATATGACACAAAATGCATAAGCTGTAATGCCCTACTCCCGAACTATTTATTTTCAGAAATAATTATCGGTGACAAGCTCAACTAAACACTAATATAACTAACTATCAATACTTACGATTCTTTACTTCAATTTTTGATCCTTCACACAATGATTTATAACCAACATCCCATCACTAAATCATAAGGTTAAATCTCACATTTTCCACCAATGTCCCTCACATTGCACAATTTCCCAAACAAGGCTATTGTCTCAATTATTTAGTCTCATTTATATTATGGCTGCATCTAACGTCTCGTTAGACTGCCTATGTACCATAAACAGGGATCAAGCCATTCATAGTTCACATTTGTACTTCTAAGCATTCACAGTAATTATATGCAATAATCAATTTATAACTGTTTGTGGAATTATCAATCATATATATATATATATATATATATATATATATATATATATATATATATATATATATATATATATATATATACGATAGAAAGGAAAAGACCTACTTACTTGAGGTCCGCGTTACGACTCCCTAGCATGCATATCGAGACATCACAAACCATTGTCGTCTAGAACAATTATCAAATGACATCTCAGAGTTCTTACCGATAAAATACATAATTTACATAAAACACATCCCTATGTAATTCAATTCGGAAGATTTGCATCACGGATTTCCGATCCATTACTTCCAAGGACCCACATTATGTTTCTAGAACAATGTCCTAAGGTTTCATTATGATCCAACAGTTGGATCTCCGCCAATTGCCAAAACCAAGTGGTGGTCAACATTTTATTTTATGAACTTACAATTCTAATTCAAGAAGATCCGTATATCGGATTCTCGATCCGTAAATTCCTATGATCTTCAAATATTATGTATTATAAGATATTAAAGTTTGGTGACAATCCAATGGTCGGATTGTCGATTCATGTTTTTACCAAGTAACATATCATAAAGAATTTAGGTTCAAACGATCAACCAATGTCATACTAACATCAAAACTGAACTCAAGACATCTAATTTAGCCTAAAAATAGTATCGACGGCCCTCTAGCCATGCACCGCCGCACGGGCTGCCGTGGGTGGTGGTCGGCAGCCCCGACTCGCCGGAAAAATCAACTATTTCTAAAAATTCTCAAACTTCACAAAAATGAAGATCTCATTGAGTGGAACAACTTTTATACCTATGACTAAGGCCAATTTGGTTGTGAAGAGCTCCAATTTCACTAAAATCCACCGGAAACCCTAGAATGGGTGCTTTTTGATTCTCCTTTCTCAGTGTTCCAACATCCCTACAACTGGTTGGGTCTTGTTCTTGGGTCCAAGGGGAGTTGATTAAGGGTGGTAATGGGTGGTGAAACTCGCCAGAAAGGAGGAATCGCAGTCCAGCACCTCCAGTGCTCCGGTGAAGTTCCTTGCGGGTTAGGACCTAAAAACCCTTAAATATGGATGGAGATGGTAGGGGGAAGGGTGTGGATGAGGTTGCAGGTGATGAATGGGTGAAACCTGCTTGAAAAATGGCGGAGGATCGCCAAAAATCCACCCCGGGTCGAAGCCGGGTTTTCTGCATATGTATGGCTACAGGAAGGGAAGGCTGAGAGCTTCCCTCTCTCCTCTCCTAATTGGTGGAAATGTTTTTTTTTTTCTCATCTAATTGGTCCTTATTTTCTATCCTTGAAGCTGATTGGCTTCTTTCCTATAAGATGGGAGTTCAATAATTTAGTAATCTAAAATGTAAGTAACCAATTTCAAACGTCTGTAACTATACCGTTATAATCTGGACTCGCAAACGGCTTTTGCCTATGCGTTCGTACCATCGAGTACTACGAAAATACGCCAAAAGAATAAGTCATACGTTCTTCCAGACGATGGTCAACATAAATCAAAATCCTTGCCTCTAGACATTTTTGTCAATTTCCTCGATTAAAAATAAATAAAAACGAAATTTTAGGGACTGGTTGTCAGACTAGGATCCACATAAGCGATTTCATTAATTACATTCAACTTGCCACATTTTACATATTTCGGATGCCGAAAATACCCCTATTGTATGTTTGATGTATAAAAATTAATTACATGCAAATTATATGGGAGAGTTAATGACTTTGACAAATAATAAATAAATAAATCAAAAGACATTAATGTACGAAATTATGGAGATGAATGCACAAAGAAGCGAAATTAATGTGTATATAAATATAGCCGAATCAATGGTGCATTTAAACTAATTACATATTAATATGAAATATGGGAATGAATGTCCTAAAAACTATACGATTTTGAATTGTTTTATGTATTGAATGACTTTATTAATTTCAATGACTATTTAAATGCAAGCATCTACCCTATGACAGTTAATGAGCAAAAAAAAAGGACCTAGTCAAATGTCAATTTTTAGGCTACAAAATTTGAACGTACCTCCAAACTTTGTGGAGTGTGCATGTAAATAATGAGAAGACCAGCATAATTTCCGATGCTAAAACAAAACGATGAGTTGTGTCTTTTCCCAACCATTCAATCACATGCCAAGAATATCACTGCTTCCCTCCACCTCCCTTCCCTTCGCCTCTATAAGCAGCCTTGGGCAAAGCCAAGTTACTCCACTTCATCCATGGCTCCATCTTTTCTCTCCCCCACGGCCTTGGGTTGCTGCTTTCTTCTCTTCTCCCTCATTCTCTCTTCGTTTCCAGCTCTCTCATTCGCCCTATCCAATGCCGAAGCCGCTCACATAGCCCATCGCCAACTCACTTCTCTCCCTGAGAATGGCGACCTCCCAGACAACTACGAGGTTCAAGTCGACGCCAATCTCAAATTTGAAAACGACAGGCTCAAGAGGGCTTACGTCGCTCTCCAGGCGCAGAAGAGAGCTATTTTTTCCGACCCTTTTAACTTCACCGCTAACTGGGTAGGGGAGAATGTTTGTGCCTACAAAGGGGTGTTCTGCGCTCCGGCACTCGACAACCCGAGCTTGAACGTGGTGGCCGGCATAGATCTCAACCATGCAGACATTGCAGGACATCTCGTTGTCGAAATGGGGCTCCTTACCGACCTCGCTCTCTTCCACATCAACTCCAACAGATTCTGCGGTATCATCCCAGAAAGCTGCAGAAGGTTGACGCTTATGTATGAGTTCGACATCAGCAACAACCGATTCGTTGGTCGTTTTCCTGGAGTCGTCCTGAGATGGCCTAATTGCAAGTACCTTGACCTCAGGTTCAACGGCTTCGAAGGTGAGCTGCCTCCGGAGCTTTTCACCAAGGAGTTTGATGCCATTTTCTTGAACCACAACCGATTCACGTCGGTAATTCCAGAGACGATTGGAAACTCCAAGGTTTCTGTTGTTTCATTTGCATTTAACAATTTCAGTGGTTGCATCCCGCACAGCGTTGGGAACATGCGCAATGTGAATGAGCTGATCTTCATGAACAATCAGCTTGGCGGGTGCTTCCCTCCTGAGATTGGAAACCTTGGAAAATTGCAAGTTTTTGAGGTGAGCTACAATGGATTTATAGGTTCTTTACCAAAGAGCTTTGTCGGGCTACAGAGCATTGAGGAATTGGATATTGGGTACAACAGGTTGACAGGGTTTGTGACTGATAAGATTTGTATGTTGCCTAAGGTGGCCAATTTCACATTTTCTTACAATTATTTTAGTGGGGAGGCTCAAAAATGTATGCCTAATCCCAAATCGGAGATAGTGTTGGATGATTCGGGCAACTGCATGCCAGGAAGGCCCAAGCAAAAAAACACAAAGACTTGTTTCCCTGTGGTAACTAAGCCTGTGGATTGCAGCAAGCATTGTGGTGGATCTTCTACACCCGAAAAGCCTAAGACACCAAAGCCTCAACAACCTCCAACGCCAAAGGTTGAACGACCACCCACACCAAAGTCTGAACCGCCACTCACTCCAAAGTCTGAGCCACCACTAACGTCAAAGGTTGAACCGCCACCTACTTCGAAGGCTGAAGCTCCACCGACGCCTAAGGCCGAGCCGCCACCAACACCAAAGGCTGAGCCGCCACCAACTCCAAAGGTTGAACCACCACCCACACCAAAGGCTGAACCGCCACCTACTCCAAAGGTTGAACCGCCACCCACTCCGAAGGTTGAGCCACCATCCACGCCAAAGGCTGAGCCCCCACCCACTCCGAAAGTTGAGCCACCACCCACTCCTAAGGCCGAGCCACCATCTACACCTAAGGCTGAGCCACCACCCACTCCCAAGACTGAGCCACCACCCACTCCCAAGGCAGAGCCACCACCCATGCCTAAGGCTGAACCACCACCCAAACCAAAGGCTGAGCCACCACCAATTTCAAAGGTAGAGCCACCACCGACCCCTAAGGCCGAACCACCACAAACTCCAAAGGCAGAGCCACCACCCACTCCAAAGGCTGAGCCACCACCCACTCAAAGGGCTGAGCCACCATTGACACCTAAGGCTGAGCCACCACCCACTCCAAAGGCAGAGCCACCACCCACACCCAAGGCCGAGCCACCTCCCACACCCAAGGCCGAACCACCACCTGCACCTAAAGTCGAGCCACCACCCGCACCTAAAGTCGAGCCACCACTCACACCAAAGGCTGAGCCACCATCTACACCAAAGGCCAAGCCACCTTCCACACCCAAGGCTGAGCCACCGCCAACACCAAAGGCCGAACCACCTCCTGTGCCAAAGGCCGAACCACCCCCCTCACCAAAGGCAGAGCCACCTCCCACACCTAAAGTTGAGCCACCTCCAACACCAAAGGCGGAACCACCTCCAACACCAGAGGCTGAGCCACCCCAAACACCAGAGGCCGAGCCACCACAAGCACCTGAGGTCGAACCACCGCAAGCACCTAAGGCCGAGCCACCGCAAGCACCTAAGGTTGAGCCACCTCCTGCACCAAAGGTTGAGCCTCCTCCTGCACCTAAAGTTGAGCCGCCTCCAACACCAAAGGCAGAGCCACCACCGACACCAAAGGCAGAGCCACCAGAAGCACTAGAGATTGAGACACCACTATCACCTGCACCTTCACCAAGCCCAATTGGTCGTAGCCCTAAGGAAGATCCATTATATCCAATTCAACCACCACCAACACCAAAGCCTGTGCAATCTCCTCCGCCACAATCTCAAACACCAGAACCAACTCCAGAGCCTGTGCAATCTCCTCCAGAGCCTGTGCAGTCACCTCCACCTCCAGTCCACTCACCACCACCACCTGTTCAATCTTCTCCACCACCAATTGAATCCCCACCACCGCCTGTCCAATCTCCACCACCACCAGTTGAATCCCCACCACCGCCTGTCCAATCTCCACCACCACCAGTTGAATCTCCACCACCACCGGTTGAATCTCCACCACCACCAGTTGAATCCCCACCATCGCCTGTCCAATCTCCGCCACCACCAGTTGAATCTCCACCACCACCAATTGAATCCCCACCACCGCCTGTCCAATCTCCACTACCACCAGTCGAATCCCCACCACCACCAGTCGAATCACCTCCTCCCCCAGCTCCAACTCCATCTCCTCTTTTGCCTCCTCCTGTGCAGTCTCCGCCACCAACCCAACCAGACTTCGTGCTACCACCAAACATTGGAGCACTATACTCATCGCCACCACCGCCAATGTTCCCAGGCTATTGAGTAATAGTTTATCGTTTCACATGTTTGCCTTATTTTGTATTTTTTTCTCTAGTTCGAAAACACCTTTTACACACTCACTTGTAACTTGAGAATCTTGCAAATACAGTGAGACAGGGCCGTCTCTGACATTTTGGGGGCCCTGTGCGAATGAAATAAAAAAAAATCCTTATTTTAAAAAATATTTTTTGGACAATATATTCATACATAATTCAACAATCAATACAAAACACTTAATTGAAATCAACATATTTCTCTTACTAATGGAATGATTTCTAATTGCCATGAAATTATGATTTAAGGTCCATCCATGAAAAAGGAGCATGACTGAAAGAGATATACGGATGTGGTTGTGGAAGAAAGTAATATACAAGTTGGTATTGTATCCCTAGAGGAAATTGGAAGAAAGTAATACAAAAGTTTTCTTATTGTTTGAGAAAGGTGAAAGAGAGTAATAGACAAGTTTTCTTATTGTTTGAGAAAAGTGAAAATTAAGATATTAAGTATAGGCTCCACTTAATCAATTGTAATGTAGATAAAATCTTATGTTGATGATTTTTCTTTTCAGTCAAAACTTTTTTATTAGAAAATTATACTCATATGTAATATGTAGTAGGATGAAAATTTTTGGGGGCCCTTAGAAGTTTAGCGTCTTGTGCCACTGTGCCTTTTTACACATCCCTAACGCCGCCTCTGCAGTGAGATTTGTAATTTCAACTACCTTCTATTGCAACTTACATTGGCTCTCTCTTTTGCTAAACTTAATATGTGTTATCGTGGATTTATTGCTAAAGAAGTAAAATAAAAATAAAAAAATAAAAAAATAAAAAAGAGAGAAAATGATTCAAAGTGGTGGCTGATCATGAACGAAATTAATTTTATTATGATTAAATTACACTGTTAGTAAAGGTTTGTTTGGAAAACTGAATATAAGTGTTTTGATTGTATTTCTTTTCATTATAAGCACATCATCATTTATTTTTTTAAATTCAAGTCTTTATGAAGCAAGCAATAAGCACATATCATTCTACGAAAATTTCACTAAAAACTGCAGACTAAGAAAATACGTTTAACTATATTTGCCAAAACGTTATCAAAAGTGTATTTAGGTATGTGCACTATTATAGCAGAGAGAGAGGACTTGTTTCCTAATGAAGCCCATAAGTAATCACCACCCATCAATGTAATAAAATAGGAAACCAATTCTCATAATTTGACAATAGGATTGCTTCCAAAACAATATCCAATAAACCGAATATATCACGCATAGACTATGTCATGTGGGCCCACACGACATAGTCTATGTGTGATACGTGTCATATGTCATATTCTTACATTCTTCCATTTGGCCCACACAACACATATGACACATATGTGATATGCCTTATGGTTTAATAAATAAGCATTAGGTGCGCATTATATTTGAAAGCACCCTCACTATAAATACTGATTTTAAGTAATTCACTAATGCAAGTCAAGGATGTTTTAAATCTACATGCGATATAATTCCTTCGATGTACCACAACATTAATAAATTACTCAAAATGGTCAATTAGTGAGAAGTAATACAGAGTTCCTATAATGTGTTTGTCAGAGACTGTTCCTATTATAATATATCCAATCTCAAACATGTATACATCTATTGGAAAACAAGCAATATCATAAACATAACCAATTATTGAGCTCAGAGTGTCAACTTAAAGAATTAAACATCATACGACACACCTAATCATTAGTATTGTCATGATTATTACCACAATTTTTTCGACATTTTTCATTTTTGCCTTCAACCATTGTGGTAGCAAATTTTTGCCATCTTTAGACTTGACGAAATTGTACTATGGGACCATGATTTTTTAGGGCAAGAGTAAGGTTAATCTGAATACAGTTACCTCAAAAGTCCGATCATGGACTCACCAGCTCCAGGTGAAGCTGTATCAAATGGAGCAGTGGTGTAACCATCACCCTGTTCTGGGGTAATAGACGAAGTCCAAGCGACTTCGTTGGATGACCATGCTTGTTCCCCAAGACATACGATCTGATCCAGATATGGACAATTTCAGATTTTATAAGTTTTAGAGTTCATAAGAGGATGTAATATCTATTTCTAGATATTCTCTAGGATTCTCCCAGCTTAGAACGATGATTCCATCCCAAAAAGTCTCTCTCCCAAAGTATATATACACTCGTCTAGGGTTAATATCTGGTAACACAATCTAAACACTTGAATTCTCTTTCCCACTGATTGAGTCTAAAATCATTCACTAACTTAACCATCGGATAACCTTTGGCAGACACACCCCTCCCACTCCGCGTCTTAGGATTGGTCACAATTGTTTACTATTTTGTAGGTTGCTAGAGTTTGTGCACAACCACCATTCACAGTGCGCGGATTTGCTTGTAACAATTGGTGCTTTCATTGAGAGTGAACTCGTATTCCTCTCGTCCAAATTACTTTACCACCTAACATGTCTGAAAGCTAGGTTAACAACAACAACTTTGCGGCCATCCAAGGTAATACCCATAAAAAATACGATGGGGTCATCACCATAGACAAGATTTGGGAGGACGTCATGGAAATCTGTCTGTCTCTGGAAAATGTTCGGCAAGCCCGCTAGATTTGCTAACATAAAGGCGTGCATCAAAGACTTAAAGGAAGTTGTTTCCCGTTTCAAAGAATTGGCCACTCAAAAGACAGTAGTAATAAATCTGATCTCCGAAGAATCGCCTCAATGTACCCTTAAGAACATTGCAGGAAATCCAAAAGGCTTCTGGGTCTCTACCATATCCAGCGCTAAAGGAAAGAAACATTTTCTCAAGTAAATTGCATATACAGGGAGCAATAATACCTGGGAAACACTCAGACATAAATAAAGGTGACTTGCAAGAAACCAAGAATGATGGCTTTCATCACCAAACCATTAGCCATCGATTCCAATATCTTGATGTTCTTAGATATGGATCTAGAAGATGTCCACTCGCCCCATGATGATGCCTTCGTCATCAAAATACAAATCTCCAATGCCCTAGTAAATATCATTCTGGTCGACAACAGCTCAGGAGTTAGTTTATTCTTCGATGACACCGTTGAAAAGATGGAGATTCTTGACAGTGTCAACAAGGGGAAGACGACCATCTACACCTTCAACGGAACCCTAGTCTAGTTTTTGGGAACAATAAAACTGGCGGTCCAAGCAGAAACAAATAAAAAAAATTCTCAAACAAAAGACTCAAAGGGAAAAACAAAAATTGTATACACTCAGTACAAAGGGCTACCAACGCCACACACTAAAGCTCCAAAATTTTATGACCAATGTTTCCTAAAAGCAAAAACCGAATCAAATTAGACAACCACACGCAAGATTGAAGCACACAGACATAACCCCCAAAATCATAAGAAAAAAAATTCAAACACAAATCCACCTACAAATCGAAAACCACAAAAAAGAAATTAAGTTAGGCACACTGAAAAAAGACCTAAAAATCATCAGAAGACGCGAGATCACGTGAGGAAAAAAATGAATTTTGATGAAATCGAAAATGGCAAAAACTTGTAGCCAGTTAAGGGTTTTGAACCAAAGAAATTCGTAGGAGTAGAAGACTATTCCAGCAACAAAAATGGTGGCAAATGATCACTGAGACAAAGACGGAAACTATAAACAGCAAGAAAATAGGCAGTGCGAGAGAGGAAGAAACCCAGGTCCGAATCGAAGCAAAATGCTATGAGAGAGTGAAAGAAACATGAAAGAAAAAGTGGAGAAGAAGTCAAAGGCAGCGATGATAGATGTGTGGCCAACAGAGGCAAAAATGACTTTCCACTACAGAAAAAAAGGAAACAGCACGGGAAGCACAGAGAAACCGATGGCATTTCCGCCCGCACACTATTAATAAACAATGTCGTCCCCCAACTGGGTTTTAGTATATATAATTTTTTTTTTTTAACAAACGATATTTCTGCCCGCACACTATTAATGAACAATGTTGTCCCCTAACTGGGTTTTAGTATATATACTTTTTTTTATAACAAACGATATTATCTACACTAGGAGGAGGGGTGGTTTTAGCCTCAAAATGGACTAGCAATAATGTGGTTTGAATTCGCTTTTAGCGATAATCAAACATAAGACATTTCACTTACAAGTGAAGATGAATACTACTATACCGTAATCATAAGTGACTCTATTAGTATTAATTAAATTAACTAATCCAATATATATATATATATATTGTCACATCCCGGCCCGGGGCGGATCACTTCCCGGGCCCGCTCTAACACCTTTAGCATTCCCTTAGGACCTAGAACAAAGCCCAAAGCGGACAATATCGCCGATCCTAGAATCAAGGCGTGCTGGCCGTCATGAGAGCGTGACGGCCAGCACGCCTTGATTCTAGGATCGGGGTGTCATATATTGTATCCTAAAAATCTAATGTTGGTTTGAAACAACTTGATCTTAGATGCAGAGACAACTAATCCATTGGACTTAATTATTCTAGTGAACAAATGCAAATGTTTCCAATGTTCGTCTATTGACTTTGAATAAATAAGAACATCATCAATATAAACAATTGAAAGATGGCTATATTGATTAAAAATCTCATTCATTATATTTTGAAATTCACCTGGAGCATTCTTGAGGCTGAAAGGCATTACATTCCATTCATAATGTCCGAGAAAGTCTCTTTATCAAATCTCTTTTGTTGGGGATTGGATACCGAATCCATTCCAAAACTTCATTCAAAGGTTTGTAGTTAATAACTAATCGAGGAGTTCCTCTTTCTAATTTTGCATTCTTCTGAACATAAAATGCAAAGCATGACCATGGAGATTTACTTTTCCTAATGATACCTTTATTAAGCAGTTCATGGATTTCTGTCTTACAGAATTCTAAAACTTCTTGACTCATTTGAATTGGTCTGGCCTTAGTTGGAATTTTTGATTTGTTAAAATCCTTTATATAAGGAAGTTTAACAATGTGTTGTTTTCGATGCCAAAAGGCATTGGGAATATCGGAACAGATGTCATTGACAAGGTTTTTTTGAAAATTATCAATAGTTTCTAACAAAGATTTATTTGTTAGTTGTTCGTCAATTCGTTTGTGATTAATTTCTTCCTTTAAAAAATTAAGTTGTATAGATTTATGATTGATTAAGTTGATGGATCACGATATGCTATCCTTTTGGAGA